CTGGGGCTTGACCGATGAGGAGCCAAGCTTGCAAAGGTCTTTAAAGAGACTGCTCTAACAAGGGAAATCAGTAAGCACATGGAAATAAGCTTGACGTGTTCAAGGGACAGAGAAGCCTGAGTGGCCACAGAAGAGTGAAAGATAGACATGCGACGAGGTCAGAGGAATATGCAGGTACAGACAAAATAAAGCCTTGTAGGCCATGGCACGGGTTTCATTCTAAGTGAGATGGGAATCCCTTGGAGGAAATTAAGCAGGGTAGTGACATGATCTGATTTACATTTGAAACAACTACTTTGGCTGCAGTGTGAAAATGGCTTGCAGGTGTTAGAACTGGAAGCAAGAAAACCAGTTGGAAGGTTAGATTAAAACAGTGGGGCCACTGACAGACACAGGAAAACTGTGGTGAAGAATAGATTTGAACATCTTGAGTTTGAAGTAACTGCAGCATCCAGGCAGAAATGTCCTCAAGCAACTAGAAATATGAAAAATAGGTGTACCTACTGTCTGAGGAGACACTTCTACTGGGGCTGAAGAAATACAAGTTAGATGACAGACACTACAGGAATATAAGAACATTAATAATAACTTGAAAGAAATGTTTCTAGTGGTGGGCAGCAGGGCTCTGTAGTCATGTCTCATTGAACATTTTTTATCTGTGAATGGGATGAAGAAATGGCAGGATAATGAAGATTATCAAAAAGCAGAGAATAAAGACTAATGCACTAGAATCAAGATTCAGAAAAGATCTCAACTGCTGGAAGGATGAGCTCAATTTAACAAGATGAAATTTAACAGATACACAGATAACAGATGTGCGTGTATAAATATACATATGTGCATGTGTGTGTATACAGATATTCCTTCATACCAAAAAAATTAAAATCAATAACAGCTATTGATTATAGAAATCTGACAGTTCACTTGAAAAAGACCTGTAACTTTCATTGACCTCATAATTTATGAGCCTAAAGTAATGTCATTGTGAGAAAGCTAATGTAAAATCAGAGTATGTTGATAATACTACAAAACTACAAAAATTATTTTTTTCTGGGGAAAAATAAATCAGTAGTGAAATAAACTGCATTTATCCAAATTATTTCTAGAATACTATTTTCTGAACAGGCTGCTGACTATGTTCAGATTTATGTGATTTAGGAACAGTCAAGTAATAAAATTGCACACATATTCCCTTCAGTGCTTAACAGCATGCCTGAGCTCTTCAGAATATGTAACCTAACTTGAAGAAACAAGGTGTGTTTCCCTTGGTTGAGAGAAACCCTAGTCTTCAAACACTGAAGGTCTTCAGGGAATTCAGAGAATTAAAGTAACTTGTCCAAAATTAGACAGAAAGAGGTAAAGCTGGGATTTGAACACAGGTAAGTTTGACTCCAAAATCTTCTTTAAAAAAATGATATATATGTGTATATATGTGTATATATATACACATATATATACATATATACACATATATATACATATATACACAGATATATGTGTGTGAAAAATGTATATATAATTTTTCCTTTGAGTTAAGCAGTTTCACTTACCAAATTTATCTGAAAAGGTTTAGTCAGAAAAACCAAGGTTTTATTTGAGCTTTTTTCAGGTAAGAAATGTGCCTTATTTATTTTAATTAATTAATTTTGTTGACATTGGTTAACAAAATCCAGTAAGTTTCAGGTGTACAATTCAACAGTAAGGAATATGTATGTGTATATATAGCATTGTGTGTTCACTGCCCATAGTTAGATTTCTTTCTGTGCCTTATTTAACTTCATAACTTTAGGACTAGTACAACTCCTATTACATAAAAGATACTCAGTAAATATTTGCTCAGTGAATTAGCCGAGCTCTTTGCTTGTGTTATGCATCCAGTCCACTGATCAACATAAGACAAAACATACACATTCAAACAAATGAGAAACATCTCTCTGCAACCCTTTCTTCTTTATAGTGTCCCATATGACAATGCCTTTAAATCCATCTGGTATTTTTTTTTTTTTCCTGGCAACTCACCTTCCCTCTCCATCCACTTACTTTGCCCCTTAAGTGAATAAACCCCTCATTCCCACCTGTCCATCTGGCCATCAGCCAAGATGAGTCTTCCTGCTCCTCATAATTGCTTGCCTTAATTTACAGCTTGGCAAACTGAGATAGTGGATCTTGATGATAGTAAAAACATATATCGGACTGTTTAGGAAGAGAGAGAAATAGAAAGAATTCCGATTGCAATGAGGAAACCATATCCACAATATCTTTACTCATCCTTCACCAAAATTTTGTTTTCCTATTTTTCCTATTTCATTATGGAAAGACTACAGAATGATCATGGTAGGAAAAAAAATGAATAAACTGTGTGTATAAATCAGAATAACAAATTTCTCAGTACTATATAAGGTTCTCAGAAGTTTTAAGACCAAAAATGATGACACCCAAATTTTAGGCAAAGTAATTTGCAGAAAACAAAGTATATTTTCAATAGGGTGAAGAAAACAGGTTAAAACTAATTGTTTTGGTCCCTTTGTTTCTAGCATCTATTTTCTATCTCTATATACTGTACTGGCAATGTTAACATAAGAGACAGCCCAGATGGAAATACGCTACACACCCAGCTACCCTACAGATTATCTAGTAACTTGATCCTCAAATACACAAGGCAGAGAATGGAAAAGAGAAAAACCTGTTTACCTTAAGAAGAGATCTTCCAAATTCATTAACATCTCTTACAATGCTTACATAACCTTATTCCTAAACTCTAAAACAAATCGTTTCAGAGTCAAATGGCTATACCACATGCATTAATGGGGGGAGGGGACACACATGCAAACATAAAATAGTACTGGTGCAAAGGACACACAGAGAAAGAAACGAATCCCAAATGATCTCTGCTCACTTCACCTCCACCCCCCCCAAAAAGTTTTTAAAAGTGGATGCTTTATATATAGGCAAATATAAAACACCAATTTTTGTGAAGTGATGTTTTTAGAAGGCTGAGAATTAGTTCACAACCAATTTAAAGGCCCATGTAACGTTTACCTGAAAATGGATGGTTTTTTCTGCTTTTCCACTGGTGAATTACTAAACTTAAATTTAAAAGGTGCCATGGTAGGAAGAAACACAAGAGTACAGGAGCAGATAAAGCCAGTTAGGAATTGCTAGACAGTAGAGAATCTATGGTACTTTCAAGACTTCGATTTTATACCTATATTGTGCTGAATTTCAGATTCTGCTTCTAGGTGAAAAAGAAAAAAAACACAAAACACCCAAACGCGAAGATTTCCAGACTTTGGGTGTTTAAAGGGCCTCCACACAGTAAATCAACCTACTGCTGTCCTGTTTGCTCCACAGCCAGACTGAAATAATACAGCACCAGCAGAGGTGTGAATTACCCCCATTCATCTTAATGGAGTGTTAACTTCAAAGGCTTGTTTTAACCATTTAAATGCTAAGCTCATGAGTAAACATTTGGTCAAAAAAAGTACAATGTAAACATTCACCCTCACCATATGAAAGTAATTTATATTCTCAGCACTTCGTCTTTTAATTTAGCAAACAAGTCTCCAAGTGTTGGAAATTATGTATTTTGTGCTTTACTTCGTTTTAGTTTAAATAGTTATTACCTAATAAATTATGAACATTGAGCCCATAATGAGAAGGGCTACATTTCCCAAGAAAAATGCTGAGGAGTACTTGAACAAGGTTTTTTGCAATCCTGGTGCAGGG